GGGGGGAAGAGAGAGAGAGAGAGAGAGAGAGAGAGAGAGAGAGAGAGAGAGAGAGAGAGAGAGAGAGGGCAGGTTTTGCATGCAGACCTTTGACTCATTTGAAGACCTTGAACCTTAAAAGCTGCTGAGGCTTTTATGTTGTATTTTCCAGACTTCACACAATTACAAAACATACATGAAACATTTGAATCAAATGCAACAGATAAAGCAGTGTAAAGAGGACTTCTATGTAATGTGCTAACAACAGCTGTATGGTCCTTTAAATCCTCATCATGCTGCTCTACAAAAGACTGAAGCTAAAGCAGCTATTTTCTTATAAAATAAAATACAAGTTCTGACTCTTTGTTTTCTGCCCACAGAGGTATAATTAGAGTAACTGCTGTCTAATTATCTCTGTGGTCAGAGCAGTGAAGACCTGTAAAAGAGAGGGTCCACACCGGATTAAAAAAAGGCTTGTCAGGGTACCAAGAGGTTGAATCTGTTCAATATGTTCCAGTTATTCACTACATCTTTAGAGTAGCTCTACATGTAGTTGTTCCACGGTACAGTACGATCCATTCAAGCTGCTTTTAATGGAGAATAACCCCCCACTGAGCGCTCAGGATGCCTTAAAACAGAGAGCTTTCTGTAAAACACAGGCTACAAAACCACGTAGCCAGTCAAGTTAATCTCAACCACGCTCTTATAAGTAAGTCATAAGAGCAACTAATCCAAGTCACATGACTAAGGACACTAATGACTCACGTGACTAACCCATCCACCTCCCCTCTAACCCCGCCATAAAGGGTTCATTTTAACCCAAACCAAGTAAGTTTGTTGACTTAACCTAAGAAAATTTCTGACTGAAGCAAACTTCTCATTTCACCAGTGTAGCATGGAAGTGAAATGGCTAGGCTAGCTAACTAGCCAGCTGCTAAATGAGTGAAATAAAAGAAAAACGTAATGCTTCAACCAGACTCGTTCCAGATGAGTGAAAACTTTGTTGGACTCATTTTCTGTATCCGGTGTAGCATTAAAGCATTATGGAATTAGTAAGCGAGCTAGCTAACCAGCCAGCCGCTACATGAGTGAAATGCAACAACTTTATCCACATCAAAGACTCTTTGTCCGTGCTCTGAAACAATTCAGAATCCGAACACGTTATTGATGCCCGGGGGAAAATTTGTACGTTTCAGTTGCTCTTATATAAGCATGGAGAAATAAAAGCAAAAATATAAATGAAGGAATTTGCAAGATAAAATGTACATTTTGTACATAATGCTACACTATTACATTACAGTCATTTAACAGACATGTTTAGATTCTATCACATTCATACACCGCACAGCTACGGGAGATATTTTTGGGGTTAAGTGTCTTGCTCAAGGACACATCGACATGCGACTAGCGGAGCCGGGGATTGAACCACCGATCCTCTGATTGAAGGACGGCCCTGTTAACCACTTAGCGGTCTCCCACTATATCACACAAGTATGAATAAAGAGTATCAATGCAGGATAAATGCACATTGCCAGATAATCCGCCATTCGCACCACAGTAACGCGGGACTAGGTGGAGCACTCTTGGGGGAAAAAAAGCGTTGGTGAACATGCTAAAGATCAGCACGTTAACATTATCATTGTGAGGATGCTTGCATGTTGACGCTAGTGTTTAGCTCAAAGCACCAAAATGAGTCCAGCCTCATAGAGCCGTTAGCATGGCTGTAGTCTAAATGCTGATTAATTAAATTGAAGACTTATTTTAAGTGCGTCCAGGGTGCAGATCTGGAGCGAAATTTAATTTTAGACAAAATGATTTGAACAACTTCTCAATAAGAGGAAAAAAGACAAACTTAGATGGCAGGAAACTTAGTCCTGGTTTGAACCATGAACATGTTGTTCACCTTGTCCCGTTGCTTAATGTACAGAACATGCACTTTACTGAAGCATTGTTTGTTTCCACAGTTCTATAATGAACCTCTGCATTGTTCCCTGAGGGAACATCAGGAGCATCTGTTAACTATCAGCTGCTTCATCCACGGTGATGACTGAATTTTTATTTGCTCATCCGTCATTGTTGTTATCGAGCTCGGAGAAGGAAAGTATATATTTTCAATTTACTGCAAAAAAACACAACACAAACTATTTTTCGGAACTCAAAATGTCAATCAGGACTTTGTGTGCAAAATATCTTTGTTATCGTCACTCGGTTTAGTAATTAATTCCCTTGAACTAATGAAAACTCCTCTGAAATTACTGAATTATCTTAATTGACAGTCACTTTCATCCCATCAACCTATAAATGAGAGACCTTTAGAGGCCTTCTATTTGTCCACTTTTGACTTCTAAGCTACACTAACCAAGTCCTGATTCCAGCTCTGTATTCTAGCAAATAACTGCAGTTTGGGAAATGTTGAATTATTCCTTTAAACCGTGAAAATTGACATTAGCTTTTGGGATGCTCACGAAATATTTGTATTGACCATTATAGTGGGAGCTTCTCAATGTCATCATCTAGTGGCCATTAGAGGAACTGCAGATTTAAACCACCAATTAGCTTCAATATTCAGCTGTGGTGATTTCATAGCTGAGTTTAGTTGTTCTCAGTTGCTGTTCCATTGAGACCGTTTAACTGTGTTTATAAGGGCAACATGAAAGCAAATACTGCTGAGTCCTTCAAATTAAATTCAGTCAATGATGACACCAGGTTACGCCTGTGTCCCGTGTTGCACGAGAAATTCTAACGCTGCATTGTTTCAGTAGCCACGCAGCAGCTAGCAGCGAGCTAGCTCGCAGCAGCAGCCACACGTGTGCGTGGTTAAACCGATTCCGTCATGTTAAAGGGAAAAAGTGATCAAGCCGAACAACAGCTTCTTTTTTCTTTACGACATTTGTGTAAAGATCAAAGGCAGGTCGACTTTATCGCAGCGCTCTGCACTTCCCTTTCAGAAACAGAAAAAGACAGCCACCGCTGTTTCCAATGAGAAGCAGGTGACGGCCCCAGCTGAGCGCTTTAAACGGCTTCATAATGAGGGCTGGCCGCCTGCAGGGCCTCCTGCACACAGGACACATAAAGAGCCATGGAAACGCAATAGCACTGCCTACCAGCACCGATAGCATCGTCAACACTTTCTGTGTGCGAGTGTGTGTAGAAGCCAATGCAAGGAAACTATACGATTAAGTTCATCATTAGTTTAAGAGGGACAGTGTGAGCATCAGTGTATGTAAGTGTTTGTAAAGAAGGCTACCGTACACAAAAAATACCAGCAGCCATTTAAAGGGGTCATTCACATGTCACATTTATTTTGTGCCCTCAAATCCATTGTTGTCAATGGAAAGCGCGCTCAGAATCGACAATATTTTTCACCTTTTCCATCGAAGGACGTCACAGCATCCAGTTGACAGGTCAGCCAGTCACAGACAAGATCAGCCAGTAAAGCTGCGAGTCCATTGACCTTTGGTTAGTTTAGCCAGTTACGCTAAATTACCGCTTCATCATCGTCATCATCATCATCATCGTCTTCCCAGCGTTCAGGTTTTGGTTGCTTAATAACGGCAGGAACGACATAGAAGTCTATGAGAAAATGACTCTACTTCTCTCTTGATTTATTACCTCAGTAAACATTGTAAACATGAGTTTATGGTCTCAATCTCTAGTTTCAAGTCTTCTTCAATACAGCATGATGTTCATTTAGTACATTATGGTCCATTTAGAGTCAAACAGACCATAAAGCAGGGGATGCTTTAGGGCGGGGCTACACGGTGATTGACAGGTCTCTACCAGAGACGTATACGGTGTCTCTACGTCACTCCTCCTCAGTCCAGATATGGTCACTTCCTGTTGACTGGTTGCAAAAAAATATATAAGATGGCGACGGCCAAAATGCCAAACTCAAGGCTTAAAGACAGCAGTCCACAAACCAGTGAGTGACGTATAAAGTCTATTGTGTATCCCTCAGGGAACTATTGTAGCTCGTTATCTTGGGCTAGCTAACGTGTTGCTAACGTGTTGAGGCATGAGATGATATTTGAGATGTTTGTAGGTGGTTGCTAGGTGACTAACAGATGGATGCTAAGGTACTGGTGGTTTTATGTTGTAGCTACCAGTCTGCTTAGTGGTTGCTTTGGCCTTTTTGGGCAGATGCTAGGGCTATAAGAGGGTGGACCATTGGGTGTTTGCAGTAGTTGCTAGTGTTTGTACTCTTGGAGGCCATTTATTAGAAGGCCCTGCACACCTGTGGTCCCTCACAGGTGATTAGAATTATTCTGGTAAGACTTCTCAGGACTGTGGAGAGAAAAGACTGATCTCACTGAACCTCGTTAGCTTGTTGCACCCGTCAGGGCGATACAAATTACAACTTTACTGTCGGTAGGACATGGAGTCTGGTGACAACACTACAACACCTAATTACCATCATAACTCCGTCCACCTTCAACCAGACCAGAGGTGTGATCGGCCAGAATAAGTGAAAACACTTGTATGTGTGTGCAGGGCTCATTTAGTGAAGTCAGTCAGTACAACAGTAGAAGCGTTTTCTTGTCATTCTTGTGGTTAGTCTGTACAGTAAGTAGCCTTTTGTGCACATTTTACGTTTAAAGAATCCCTGAGTGGAATCCTGTTTGGATGAGGTAGAAAAGTTGGCAAAGCTGAGAAGAGATAAAAATCTACTTTTTCAACATTTCCTCAAACAACCGTTTGTATGATATTTTAACAAAATTTCTTCTACAA